AGATTCGATAGAGTACTCGATTACAAAAATATTCGATAGCTGCAGCCCTAGACTCAAGGTCTACAGCCCTTGGGTCATAGACTATGAGCTATAAGTATATTGGTCTTTTTATCCTGGGAATCAGGAGTTCTTTTAGTGATCATCTTGTTTCTTATTTTTGTCCTGATTGTGCCCTGAGCAGTTTTATGACTGAATAAAAACAAATAAAATCAACATAAATTGAAAAATCGTCCTAAATAATCGTGATCTCAATTTCAGTCACCATAATCGTGATTATTATTTTTGCCATAATCGAGCAGCCCTACTCGATCCTATCTTTAGTGGCGCGGCATGCCGCTGCCGCGTTGCGGCTGGTTTGAAACACTCCATAGACTATAATTGGATTCTATTTGAAGCGGTGCTGCTTCGCTGCCATTCCGTTCCGCTGATGCTTGCAGTGTGAAACCGGGGTGACTCTCCCGTATTCCAGTCAGAATTTACAAAACTCCTCAGATGAGAAGTGAAACATCTTGAAGACACCAAGAAGTCCAATAAGTTGTCTTCCTTCAAACCCTTTTGGAAAACGTAACGTAATGTAATCTTGGTTGAAATCTGACATAAAAAGGAACATTTTTTGCAATCCATCTTTTTACTCCGCTTTTTGTACTAAAGAACGTAAAAACAGGTGACAAATTTAGACAAAAACTAACATTTGTTGGATTCTTTTGCTGCTGCGCCGCTAAAGGGGGGTTTCTAATGCATCGTCTCAGTAAATGAGTAAAAGTACATCAGCTTTGCTTTCTTCTGAGCTTCAGAGTTGTAGAATTAAAGCTGCACAAACTCTAAAATTATACTGACATGCCTCCTTTTAACAGCACACGTGTAACATATTCTATTTATTACACAGTACAACTTAAAAGATGATGTAAAACAGCGTTAAACCTCAGCCAACTTTTTAAATGCGTTGCTGGTTTTGTTGCTGGTTTTGAGTTCAGAATTAGTTTAGCAAAGACAGATTCAATTTTATATGATTTCTGTACGGATTTGCACATTGTTGCATTGGTTTTAATAGCATTTTTGCAAAAATTTCATTTAAATAAACTGCTCGTAACAGTGAGGATGCACATTTATTGTTTTCAGGGACTTGGTGGCTTGTCAGCTGCTGTTAATGGATTTATCTAATAACTAGGATTAACTCAGAGAAACAAACACACTGTGGTGTGGCAGTAAATCTTCTTGATGGATATTTTGTCACAAGCGCTGAGGTGTGAAATGTGATTATCAACATTAGCCTCTCCTAATGGCATCAGCCTGAAGTTTTGTGTGTTCCTCAGGTTCTGTATGATTCAGTAGCTTATTAAAGCTTGTTGTCAGTTTGCTTGATGGCTTTGGACACAGGCTGTGTTTAATTCATTCGTCTGCGCGTCTCTGGGATTTTCCGTTGCCTCAGCGAGCGTCTAGCGTTATTAAAGGCATTAATCTCTGGCATTTGATGCCTTGTTACGACACTTTCCTGCTCCCGCTGTGCCACACAAAACACACTGATATTCTGGTGTCAGGAGTGCCATTCAGCACCGCGACACAACAATATCCCTAAAATACAGACACCAAATCATATTTTATGATTTCAGCTCAGTATTTGTGAAGATATCGAAGGTTTTACTTGTTGTTTGATAGCTTTTTCTTTTGTTGATCAAATATCAACAGCCTTCAGGCAACGCACAAGCCCACTGTGGTCTGTGAAACTGTGATGACGTGCTTAGAAATGCTTTTAATTGGTGCCGGTGGAGTTTTCTTGTAAACACGCTCCAGCAGATGCACTCAGTTTACCCTTGAAGTCCAGCAGGCGCGTTAAATGCGGCTACTTTAGAGGTAAAAACTTCTCTGGGTTTTTTAAGACTGTTTTTATTACAGATTCACTTTAGTTGTCTGCAGCTCTAACCCGCAGGTACATTACTGCACATATTAGCATGGTGCCTCCACATTAAGGTCAATGCAAAGGCAGGATGTGACACTGTGTGTGTGTGTGTGTGTGTGTGTGTGTGTGTGTGTGTGTGTGTGTGTGTGTGTGTGTGTGTGTGTGTGTGTGTGAGAGTTTGGAGCTTTTCATGTAAATTTCAAGGAGTGGTGTTTGCATGAAATCTAATGTATGCAACATAAATTGGGCTAATAAACATGCAAAAATATGTTAAATTGTTGCTCTTTTAAACTGTCACTTAAAATATAATGTAATATAATATAATACAATACAATGTATTACAAAGTAATTTAACATTATTTAACATCATTCATAATATAAAGTAAACAATCTTTTATATAGCGCCTCAAGATAAAAATCATGAGGCGCTTCACACAAAAATTATATATATATATATATATATATATATATATATATATATATATATATATAATGTAATGCAAAGTTTCCCCAAAAAACTTGCTAAGCTTGGCGGTTGAGAAGCCCGGGGGGTGGCGCATTGATCATTTTGCTACTGTGGGGTGGGGCAACGCCTCGCCTAACCCTAACCCAACATTTACACCGAAAGAAAAGGAAAATCATTCTAACATTAGAGAAACCAATAAAAATATACAGATAGCCTGTGATGTAATGTTTCATGTTACTCATTGTTTGACATAACTGCTTCCCATATGCTTATCTTTTCATACATGGCTGACTTGTCCCAACATGTCAAATTCATAATAATAAATATACATATATACATGAGTACATCTGAAGTTTTGTTTTGTACCACCTGGAAGATAAAACTTTATGGGTAAATGTAAATATTTCTCCAGCAGCAGAGATTTTTACGAGTTTGTGACGGTTAAAATACTAAATTTCACATTTTTGTGATGTTTTTGAAGTTTTCATTGGTTCATTTCTTATGCTGTTTAATTGAACACCGTAACCTGTATCTCCAGCAAGTGAACGGGAACACCACTTGTCTGTTATCTCTTCTGAGTTTGGCTCACAGTAACCTTTTCCTGCCACTGAATTTTAGAGAAAAGCTGTGAAGTCGCCACATTGTTTTGACATGCCGCCTCTAGAGCTTTTATTTCTAAAAAGTAAAACAAAACCTCATCCTCTCTTCTGCCCTCGTCTCTCAAACTCCTGCTGAACGCTCCGTCTCCGGGGCGGATGGCTACTCCACCACCTCTCAGTGTCTCTTTATAAAGTCGTTTCTGTAGTAGCTGTCATCCTTTTCTGTTTCAGACCATTTTATAAAAAGTCTTGAGTGTGTTAAATCCAGAGCTTTTAACAACCATTCTAAAGGGACACTTGGCATCTTTTTCATATGTTTCATTTATTTTCTTGAGTCAGTTTGTGCTAAAATGACCCTTTGCAGGGCTAATGAAAGGCCACCCAGCCTCTATCGCCCCCTGTGGACTGAATATTCCACTTGCAACTTCAGATTGGCGAGCCGCTCTGTTGGGACTTAAACAAAATTGAGCTGACATACAGTCTGGTTCCAGCATGTTTCCTGCATGTTTTAGATCAGTGGTTCCTAACCTGGGGGTCCCAGCCCCACAAGGGGGCGCCAAAGCCTCTCAGCGGGTCGCCAGGTCCTTTCCACTTTAAGGGGTTAAAACTTCATTTATTACTTGTTTACAGACTACATTTTGCTCACATTTTTTTCATGAGTGAAAAGTTCACTGATGTTAAGACAGGAAATAATTAGTACAGAAAAAGTAATACACTTTTAAGAACATTTTGCTCAGCTCACTCTTTTATTTTCAAGTGTCAAAAGTTCATTAAATATAGGGCTGGTTGATTAATCACAGCGTTTACAGTAAATAATCTAGTATAAACTGTAATATACACATTTAAGTACATTTTGCTCAGTGTATTTTTTATGTGTCAAATGTTTATTGAAAGGAATGATTGATTTATCAGTGTTTACAAGAAATAATGTGTTCAGAAAATTAATACAAACTGTCAAGCACATTATGCTCTGTTTGGTTTTGTTAATGACTTTGTTCTGTACTGGAGCCTACTATTACTGTTATCTATTGAATCAAAGCATATTAAAATGTGCTTGAACAATTTAATAATTTCTTAATACTGTTTGTACTGGAAGAGAGAATGGGAAGGGGTCGTCAAAAATTTTACTGGTAAAAAAAAGGGGTCGCTTGGGAAAAAGGTTGGGAACCACTGTTTTAGATCACAGCTGTTTGATTAAGGTGGTAAAAAAGACAAATGCACAGCGGGGAAATAAGTTGAGCTTTTGGTTCTACAAACAGACACTAGGGGGCGCTCAAAGCAACCCAATACTGCTGAGTCTCCCTTTAAAACACCTAAATTTTAAATGTATTGTTATATTTGATAACCATAACTCTTAAAAAGCCAGTAATGTTTAGATTTTTAAGTCTCAGATTTGTAACAACAGGTCTGGATTAAATTCCAAGTGAGAATTTACTGGTTTTAATTAAAATTAGTGCAAAATAAAGTTATTAGTCAAGCATGACGCAATCAGACTGATGTTTTGTTCTGAAAATCTGCAAGAGAGGTTTTCTATGGATAAAAAACTCAAAAATCACAGTTTTTATAGTTTTTACTACTAAAGATTAAAATAAAGTTTGTTTTCTCTAGATTTTTTAAGTATTTTAATCTTCTGTAATAGAAAAAGCACGTGATTTATCTATAGTAAGTTAATTAGGTTTATTCAGATGTAAACTAGTTCATACACATTGATTTTTTTTATAAATCTAATATTACTGCAGAATTATTTGTCTTCATTACGTTATTATATCAGAGTTTTACACATCCTCTGTGACTTTCTGATTCAGCAAATGAGACCAAATCTTTGTGTGCAGCTGAGCAGCACAAAGAGAGGAGATTGCAGTGATAAATGGGAGGAGAACGAGTGAGAGGAAGAAGCTGCAGGCTCTGCTCTTTTACTTTTGTACTGGGGATGTTTTTTGTTTCTTTTCTTTTGTAAAAGGCTTGCCTGAGAAAACATCAATTCCTCTGTTGGCAGAACTCTTTCATAATGAGATGAGATCTCCTCTTTCTTCCTCAGGTGTTTCGTAGAAAGGCGGTAGAGCTGGGAGAAAAGCTGTTGCCAGCCTTCAAAACGCCCACAGGCATCCCCTGGGCCCTGCTCAACCTCAAGAGGTAGGACGCTTGCTCGCTCGCTCGCTCTCTGGCTCGCACAGACACACTCACTCTTTCTCTCAGAAGTCCACTGTGGTGGCGCTTGTGGCGGCGTGTCTGTTTGGATGGTCTGATGCTTTAAAGAGCTCCGCGGCCTGTGGCTCGGCGTGCGACGGGCAAACACACACTCTCTTCTCTGCTCTCACACACTCAGATGTTTTAGTGTTACATGACAGAGCGGCTTTACCACACAGACGGTGGTATTTTTCTCCCCTCATGAGGCTATAAACCTAAGTGATCCCTTATAAATTCACAGAATCCCGTTCAAGTTTAGGATGGAATCACTAAAAGGCTTTTTGGAAGAAATCCTCTTAATTTAATCTCTGTAAACGAACCCAGATCCCGTTACGACCACAGCAGACTGCCATATCTAGGTTTAGTCACATTAAAGGTTTAACAAATGACAAAATTCAGTCTGAAATGAGCAAAAATGTTTCATTTTCAGGTTTAATGTTGATCTGATCTCATAACAGCCAGCATGTTTGGACAGAGGATGACTAAACTGGAGATGATTTCTTTTAATTAAGCAATTTTAAATTCATGAGTAGAAGCGTAACTTCTCTATTTGCAAAGACAAATCTCATAACAACGTGCAGCTGATCAGATTATCAGCTGTTGGAATCTGTTAAACAGGAATGCTGGTATCTTTGATGAGCCACTTTCAGCCATTGTTCATGTGGCAATCATGTGATGAAGAGTTTCTTTCTCTGAGATGCAACACCCTGGCAGTTTGTCAGATTTTAATTAAACAGCATGTTGCCATGACGATAAATTCATTTTCTCTTTGTTTGCGTACGGGTGAATGGACTGTCCCCCCACCCAGCACCTCTCTTATACTTGTCCCTGAAGAGAGAAACACCCCAAACAGTGTGTGTGTGTGTGTGTGTGTGTGTGTGCGTGAGTGCGTGCGTGCGTGCGTGCGTGTGTGTGTGTGTGCGTGCGTGCGTGCGTGCGTGTGTGTGTGCGTGCGTGCGGTTCTGCACAAATCTGTGATCCCCTGAGGGCTGAGCAGATTGCTGCAGATGATGACTTTACCTGCATGAAAGAACTACGATGCCTCTGAAACACACACAGATTTAACCCTATACTAAAAGTAAAGCAACACACAGCTTTTCAAAAGACGTTTGATTATTTCTTGAAATTGACTTTTTTTGTCAATTTCTGTATTTTCTAAATAAACTTACTGGTAGAAAACTTGAAGTTCTTGAATTTAAAACTTTTAACTCTTAATTGATAAAATCTTCACTAAGTAAATTAAACAAAAAAATGGGCATTTTTTAAAATCTAAGCTTGCTCTTTGGCCCAGAATCAGGTCAATCAATAAAGTTTAATTTATATAGCGTTTTCCACCACCCTCAAAGGGGCCCGAGGCACTGGACAAGAAAAGTAACAAGGATAAAAGTAGCAAGTCATAAAAGCATTCAAAACAAAATAAGAACACGGACATTTGTGAGAACAATAAAATGCCAATCAGAAAAAAATTTGGATAAAAGAAAATTAAAATTAATTGGTTCAAAGAAAGCTAAGAACAAAAACATTAAAACCAGAAACCAAATGCTTTAGGAGAAAGTCATCCTATAAAAATGAGTCTTCAACCTGCTCTTAAAGACTGCCAGTGACTGTTTGATTGTGAGCGGGAGGTGGTTCCAGAGAGAGAGGGTGCAAGGACTTGAAAAGCCTGATCACCACGAGTCTTAAATCGGGTGCGAGGGACGATAAGCAATTTCTGGTCAGCTGACCATAGTGACCTTAAGGAAACATGCTTTATTAAGGGCTCCGCTAAGTAGGTGGGGGCACTGCCTTGGAAAAACGTAAACACAAAAAGCAGAGTTTTAAACCGTGCCGGGTGTGAGACGGGGAGCCAGTGAAGAGAATACAGCACTGGAGAAATGTGGTCCCTTTTCCTAGTTCCAGTCAAAAACCTTGCAGCACTGTTCTGCACTAATTGCAGGTAATGGCGAGGTAATAAACGAAATCAGTGTCACTCCCATCCATCCATCCATCCATCCATCCATTCCACCTCCCAAAGTCTGGTTAGGAAGGCTTAAGAGAGAATCCAGACATCCCTGTTCTTGGTGATGCTCTCCTTCTCATCCTGGTGAATGCTGAGATATTTCTAGACCAGAGGGGCTACATAACCCCCTCCAGTCCCAGACACCCCCCCCCCCCCCACACACACACACACACAGTGGGATGTGACCTGTAAGCAGACTGAATCCTTGAACCACCTTAACCTTTGAGAAGGTGCATCGTCTCCACTCCAAACTCCTCCAGATAACAGAGCTCCTCACCCATTCTCTGATGCTGAGCCGGGTCACCTTATGGAGGAGGTTCATTTTAGCTGCTTTTATCTGGAATCTTGTTCTTCCAGTCATGATTCAAACGTCATGACTACAGGTGAGGGTTGTAACCCAGACTCCACCATCACGGACCGGAACGACGACTTGATAACTGTCTTACCCAACTCTCTCTTCACCCCCTCTGGGATTGGAGGGAATTATCACTTTTAACATCAACACCTACTTTTCAACCCTATTTAAATCCGTCCACAACAGGAAGGTGCTTAAGGGATGTCTAACTGAGAAGTTAGAAGAGAAAACCTGACGTTTCCAACCTTGACCCAGATTGAAACGGAACAAATCTGTAAACAGAGGCACGCTTTTAAACCTGGCCCAATTATTATTCATCCTCACCTCCTCCCCTGCTCTGCTCTGAATTCCTTCACTCTGTCTGAACTTTCTTACCATCCCACTTTCCCATACTTTGCTTTTGTCCTTGCTCAGTTTATCCATCGTACCTCTGATGAATTAGTGTCCTCTTTTGTTTCAGGACACACGACCACAGTCCACTCTGCTGTTTGTTCTCATCTTCCACCTCTTTACTGAGCACAGGTTTACAGAATGTGAGACAAGTAACAGGAAACGTGAATACCAGTTTCAGCTTTGGCACAATCTGACTTTTATTGAAAAACTATAATGAAATAATGACGTTTATATTTGGAACTTATGTTTATCATGAATATTAAACTTGGAGATAAAACAAGTGAAAAGCAAACCACCACCTTAGAACATGTCCAGTTTTCTCCAAATTAGTTGGGAAAATAAAAGGTTAGGGTTATTTTTAGAGATGTGTCCAGTTGATTTATCTTCTAGATTAACTTGAAACTGGTTCTGGTGGGCCTCCTGAGAGGAGCAATACATCCTCATAAAGGACCATAAACTGGCTCCGTGTCCCCACTTCCACCAGACTCTTACTCTGTGTTTCCTCTCTGACTTCCCTTCCTTTGAGTGGAAAAAGCCTCTGAGATCTGCTGGATGTTGGTCCCGAACCCTAATCCACCTTTTTTATTGAAATGGAGCAATAAAAAACACCACACATGGTTACTTTTACATTCTGTAGCATGTTTCATCAAAAACAGAATAATCCTAACTACTGGATGTATTTAGTTAAGCAACAGCTTTGATCTTCTGCCGTTTCTTGTAGGAATTCAAAGAAATCAGATTAATTATGTTGGGAGTTTTAGATCTAAGCTATGCTTCTCTGGGATGTGTTTCAGGCAGATTTTATTCATGATGATTACTTAAACATGCAGTTTGTTTACTTTTTGTTGCTCTATCTTAAGAGAGTAAAAGAAACATCTCAGTGCAGATTAGCTTCATAGCTGCTGCTGATATTGTGGTATAAAGTTCTACTTATGGAAGAGGAGCCCTGAGACATCTCTACAAGACTTTTTAGCCACTGATGCACACACACACACACACACACACACACACACGACCTGATCTCATTAAGGCCCGTCAGGATGCAGAGCGGTGGGAGTGATTTGCAAAAGCTTTATCAGTCTGAGCTGTGAAACTAAATGGCCAAAGCGTGTTCGTGTTCGCGCGCGCGCGTGTGTGTGTGTGTGTGTGTGTGTGTGTGTGTGTGTTTTGTTCAAGTGTTTGGATGTGAAATTAGGAGCTCATTCCTCTTTACAGGCGTCCTGATGATGACTATATCCCACAGTAACAAGCGTCTCATTATTTCCTAACCAAACAACAGTAGAAAGTTTGAAGAAAGGCTCTGATTTCAGCTACAGAACTGTTGTATTTTTAATGTTATATCATTTTTATCTGTATTTTCCATTAGTTAAAATCTCTAAAATGTAAACAAGTTTGGTTTTAAGCATTTGAACCCAGATTTAGTTTATTCCTGTGAATAAATCAGACTTTTGTGTTGGCTGGTGTTGATTAGAAGAGGCAGCCATCTTGAAAATGTTTGATACTGATTAATAACCCAATGATGTCCATATGAACACTTCTAAAAGCAGCTCACCTTAAGATGACAGCTGCTAACGCTGCTTATTAAATTAGTCTTTGCGTTTTGCTAAAAAGCTTTGTGAAACCAGCTGTTTTAGGCCTTTTATTGCATAATCAAAGGGAAGATTTGTTAAGTATTTTCTTCATGGCTCATTTATGAATGTACACATAACAGCATCATAACCCTGAAGCTTTGTTAGAACAAAGACATTTCTGGCTTTCAGGGTATGCAGGGGTTTGTTTTACAGAACGCGCCACACAAATGTGCACTCGCACTCTCCTCGGCACTAACCCGAGGCACTTTTAAGGCAGCCATGATTTAAGGGCTCTAATTAAGTTGCTAACTGCAACACTATCGCAGTTCACATTTTCTGTGCGCCCGGTGGAGGAGGAGTGCAATAGATTTAAAGGCAGGAGGAAGGAAAGAGCAGCGAAGAAAATCAGGTGGAAAAGAGGGGTCGTGGCCCGCGCCGAGACGGAGGACAGCGAATGAGCTGCCTGAGAGAACGAAACTAGAACTGGGACAAAAAATGGGTTTCATCCCATCCCTGGGTGCAAATAAATTTCTGAACTGTGTCCAGATTTAATCATTAAGGTTGCTGGAGAAGACACATCCTGGTGATAAAATACAGCGGTAGAACAAGTCTTCGTTAAAAATGCAAACCCGAAGATCACAACACTAGCAGACTGGTTTGTTCTTTAAGGCTCAAAACGGATGTGAGAGGTTGATCGTCGTCTCAGAAGAGATCCACGAGTCCTCCACTGGTAACTTGTGAAATCACAGTGACATCAATCTGTGGTGACCTAGTTTTTATCAGAGTCGTGCTCCGTTCCACAGACACCGTGACCTTTCTCTGTTGCTTTTAGCGAGTGATTTCAAAAGTGTAAAACTACGTCAAGCGAGAAAAGATCACGCCACTCTGATCCTTTATGAGGCTTTAAACGCAGTAAAATGGGACAAAGGCTAAAATCCTCCTAACATTCAGCATCATATCACTTCAGTCAGGTGGATTTGTGGCCACGTCTCAAGAGCTGGGGATTTTTATTACCAGTGTTTGAACCAATAAAACCTCAAACACCTAAATCATTTGCATAATAGCATTGAGTTTTCTTTTGGGCAACAAGGCAAACAGCAAAATCAAAGAGTATTCCAGCGCTTAGAACTAATAAATCTTTTTGCAATCCTTGTGAGAACGGGATGTGGAGCATGCAGTTGTTCAACAGGCTGTGCAAACTGGGCCACATGCATCACCAGTCAAACACAACAGCAGACTCAGACGGACTAATGTGGTTCTTTTTGTTCCGTTAGCCAATAATTTAATGCCATTTTTCCATTCCTGAGTGGGAGGTGACTGCAGCTACAATGAGCTCTCATCAGAACACCGGGTTAACGTCTCAAACGGGTTCATTTAGTCCTAAGTGGAGCAGGAGGAGCTCTCTGATCCAGAGTGACTGGATTTACCTGCATTCCTGTGTCAGTTCAGCTATAATCCCCTCATGCTAACATCCAGCCGTGGGAAAAATATCAGCGTTATTGGCGTGTATTGATTTATTTGTTAATTAGCCTCCTCCTGCTTCCTAACATGTTCACGTGCTTGTTTTACTCTGCACACATATTAACAGTTAGCTAATACCAGATTAACATTCTGCTAATATGTTGTGATGGAACGTAACTTTTATTAACACTATCCCTCAAAAAGCTACAGATCGTAGCAGATTACCGGAGGCTGCAGCATCAAAAATCTTTGTACTTTCAGTTAGAAAATCGGTGCGTTTAATGACTTGGATTTATGTTGCTTTAAGTGATTTCTGTGTCTCGTTTTCCCCAAATCGTTTCCAGTCATTAGTGAAACAATAAATCCAGTTAGCGTTACAGATCTTAACTCATCCTAAAGGTTTCAGACACACTTCCATGATTAGAGAGAACAAACACACCTTCATCTGTCGTTCCTCTGTATTCTGGTTTGTCTTCGCTCTCCTGGAACGTGCGTTTGGTTTACCCAGCAGCCTTCCCTGCTGCTGCGGTCTACTTTATCGGGGGTTAATGTTTGTTGCAGCAGAGCTTTGGGAGGGATTGTGGTGGACATAGTTGAGTTGGTCAGGTGTTAACTGCACCCCCACCATATCGAGTGAGGGGATTTATTGTTCATCACGGGGTTTATAAAAGGATTGAAGCAGATAGACGAGCAGATCGTGTGTACAGATGACAGGAGAGGTGGGCGTTTCCCTCTGAAACATAAAAAACGTGTAATCTGGAATACAGCTGACAATATATCAAGTCATGTGACCAAACTGTGATGACACTTTAATCTAAAGCTACCGAGCACAACATTCCTAAATGGATCAGGGTTTGCATTGATGGGATGTTTTCCCCACCAGTGACCCTGATCTGCCTCCCAGCTCTCTGACTGGTGCTCATCTGGTTCTCTCTGTGTTGGGTTGACATGATTAAACGCGTGGTGTAATGGGAAACAAATTATGGCTTGTGCAGCATGGTGACTTGGAAGGGAGGGGGGGGTAATTAGTATGTTCATCCACCTCCTTAAAGAGATTTGTGTGAGTGGAGTCCTTCTCCCAATTCATAGATCTACTCTGCTTCCGACGCGTTTCCTGCTTCAGCCTCGTCTCTGTGTGACTGTGGCTTGTTGCACAAATAGTGTAGTAAATAGCCAATATGTATTCATGAGGACTTACTTGAGGCGTTGCCATCAGAGTCATCAGTCCCTGGCCTGAAATCGTTTCATCAGTGCCTTTAATGATGCTGCAGACACGCGCTTTTATAGTTGTCGAGCTTTTTGGGTAACTCACATGTGGAAAAGCCCAAAGCAGATTAGATGAAAAACATAAAACAGGTGAAACGTCAGGTCCGTTATCTGCCACATTTTCACCTTATAATAAAAAAACACAAAAGTTGAAAAATAACAGCTTCTTCTGGGAAGTAGCTGACTTTTTAAGTACTTCTCTATCAGCTGTCAGTGTAGGTTGATTTCATACTGGTCTTTTGCAAGTTTTATAGTATTTCCATCTTCTTTTGTCTTTTTCCCAGTGGGATAGGTAGAAACTGGCCATGGGCCTCAGGTGGGAGCAGCATCCTGGCAGAGTATGGCACGCTGCATCTGGAGTTCATGCATCTCAGCAGACTCTCAGGAAAACCAGAGTTTGCTCAGAAGGTAAAAGACAGACATGACACTGCTCCATTTATTTCAATAACTTCTATAATCATTGTTTTTATTATCAGGTAATGAACATCAGGAAAGTACTCAACCGCCTGGACAAACCTCAGGGGCTCTATCCGAACTACCTGAACCCAAACAGCGGCCAGTGGGGTCAACGTAAGTCGCTCCTCCAGAACATCCCTCTGGTTTCTCTGCATTCAAATTAGGATTACATATGAGAGATTAGATCTTCTTTAGTACATACAAGTTACTATTGTGGTTTATTCTCTATAGATTAAGATTTATAAGATATTGGTATCCCCCAGGGCACTATTCTGGGACCCCTAATTCATCAGATATTTTAAAGCTGTCTAGGACATCAGCCTATATTACAACTATAAAGACTTTGTGTTATAATAACAGGCTTAAAGTCATTCTGTTTTATTCATGACATTCTCCCCAGAAAAATCACAGACTTCGTTTGTAATTTAAATAAGTCTAAAGCGGAATTTGTCAGGATCCATATTAAATAAATATTAGATTTGAAATTGGCATTCATCATTTATTAACGCTTTAAAGGGAACTTACTGCAATACATGAAAATCTAAATGTCTGATCCCATGGCATCTCATTAAAAAAATAGTTTTTCTTGCATTTTTTTTTTAATGTTTGGACTTTTTTCTGGTTTAACCTGCAAGAATAGACCTAAAATATGCAAAAGTGATAAAAAAAATGTTCGCCTGTTTTAGAAACATCTTAAACATCACCTAAATCAGAAATGAAACAATAATTCAAGAGTTTTTCACCCAAATTTTCTATTAATTACAACACTATCTGCAGCTGTTAAAGGTTTTAAATATCCTTCAATTGATGAACATCCAGAACAAAAATATTTCTTCTCTACCACCGACTTTGTTTACTTTCACAAACTAGATCAAAAATTTTTTATTCATATTAATTAGTTTATCTTTTAAGTCATTTTGTTAGTTAAAATCTACCAAAATGTCAGAGTTCACATTTTAATCAGCTTTTATTTATTTCTGTTAAAGAATGTGAGAATATTCCTGTAGATGTAAGTTAGTTTTGGGTTAAATCATCAGGCTCTTTCTAAAACACAATAAGGAAATCAGATATAATTTATCAGATATAAATCTGGTCCACAGAGGGTGAAGGTGAGTTTTATTTTTACTGGTGGGAGTAAAAGCCTGTTGTGAGCTGAAATGTCTCACATCTCATCACACTTTCCGTTTGAACCTTGTTCCGCATCACCGTAGCGCCTCTTTACGCTTGTCACCGACTCGTATTTTTGCACTTGGTACCGCGTGTGCCTACTTCCACACTCACACACTTTTATTCTGATAGGGTGTAATTTTAAATCCATTAGCTGGCTCTTCAACCGTGTAGCTAAACAGTTAATGATGGTAATGATAGAGAGGTCAGACGTAAGGAAGACCACAGAATGGAGGTGTTTAGGATGAAGGGCAGTCGAGCGTGAAGAAAGAATAACAGGGAGAAGATGGAGGCTACGGTTTGGTGGAAAGGTCGAGGACTACAGCCTCTCTGCTCTGATGGCACCCATGATGGACAAAATTGTCAGCTGAGTGCAAATGGTGTAAAAAAATAATAAACACGGCACTGACAAGTGGAACAAGTTTACTTGTTCAGATCTTTCAAATCCCATTTGCCAAAGTGCCGTAAGTCCCTTTAGTTTAGCAATCAGCCAGAAAGCCGGTGCTTTTTTAAGCTGCAGCAGACACCTGTCGTCATCCAGACCCAGGAGTACAATCACCTTTTGCTAATTCTCCTGCTTTGTGAAAACTGAGAAGGCATTCTACCCGTTTCCGACTCAAGATAGATTCAAGTTCAAGAGAGTTACTTGTGTTTAATTAATGCCCCAATTAGCTGGAGTAATAAAAATATATCCATTTAATATGAAACCCACAGCATGGGGTCATATTTAGAGGGCTAACGTTTCATTTAAGATAGCAGCAGATTCCGACAATGATGTGACTAGCCGTTAGCTTCTCAATCTTTAATAGTAATTATCTAAAGGTCTGTATCTTTCTGCTTTAAGGACTAAAAGTGATCAACAGGTGCAGACCAGTTTACAGAAACAATCTCCAACTTCTCCATAAAACTAATTTCACAAAAAATAATTCATAAAAGTCACTTTGGTTGCCTCCAATAGTCTCGCATCCTTTCATGAGTTGAAGCAGAAAAATGTAACATTAAAGCTGAAATAGTTTCATTTGTTGTTTTACTTTCCTACCCACTGATTCACTCGTAGCTTTTATTAGACTTCTGTTTTACTGCGGGAGTTTTTATTGGAGCGCTGCCGGTCTCTCTGATAGATAAATATGGATCTGTGCTGCTTTTACAGTCTGATACCTGCAAATATTAAACTCATTAAAAATCAAGCTCAGATGCTGTTAACCAAAACAATAGTCATGTTTTTATAAAGAATTTTACAAACTGGATGTGTTCAGTACATGTCCAGTTTAAACAGGTGGAATTAATTACATAGCGTTAACTCCTGTTGTTTATCAGAAACGTCCATCTTATATCATCTGTTCTCATGCTTGACGTTTTTTATTCAGATATAAACATCATAACTTAAACCTTCTTTCTCCTAATGCTAGACAGTTAAGTGGTATTTGGCAAGCTGCCGATGCTTTAAGTGCTTGATAGGTCGACGCTCTTATTCTGGATTTAATATGTTGAAGGCCAGCGCGTTTTATTGGCTGAAAACCAAACTATCCTCAGCAGCAGCCTCATTTCTCCTCACTCCAGTATGATCACAGCTGACATTTAATCTCTGCACTTTACAAACAAGGCTGGACTCTGTTAATGACAAATGCATATGGATGAGCTTCTCCTAGCAGGACAAAGACGTGTCAGCGCTCACATCACAATGACCTACACCAGCTCAGAAGCATCTGTGCAGCAGGTTTACAGGTGTGTGTTTGATTTATGTACCTTTGCTAATCTGTGCTGCAGATCACGTGTCTGTTGGTGGCCTGGGTGACAGCTTCTATGAGTATCTGCTGAAGGCCTGGCTTATGTCCGACAAGAGCGACGAGGAGGGGAAGAAGATGTACTACGATTCCCTCCAGGTAAGACAAACCCACACAGACACAGAACATCAGAATTTGACTCTTCAGCTGTTCGAGGCTAAAATAATGTTGGGATCCAAACTTTAGGATTTAGTGAAAACTGTGGAGGACATGTTGGTGTCGATCCTTAAGCTTGGTTTATGCTTGACGCATTCACTTTCCGCTTGGTGATGCGGCTCGCGGATGGAACGCGCTTCACAACTCGCAGCGTTTATGGTTCATGCGGCTTGTCTCTGCGGTGAGCCAATATTCTCCCAAACTGTAGGGGGCAGCATGGAGCTCTACACGGCATGCATCCAACACTACACCATAGTAGAAGTAAAAACTGTTGTTTACAACATGGGATTCCAGCATTTTTAACAGCGTCCTCGTCTTTTCCGACAGTGCGAGCTATTTCTCTCCAAGAATTATTAACAACATGTTGATCACGGTGATCTCTGAGAGCTGAATCATACAAATGTCTATATTTACGAACCTCTGCCATACTAGTTCTTGCCGGTCCGCCATGTTTTTCCGCGTCCGACCGTCCGAGTGGTTAGAAATTTTCCTAGGTGCGTGTTGCGGAAATTTTGGGCCGTGCGGAGGCGCGGTGGAGGGGCGTGGTTAAAATGATGCAATTTCACCGCGCGGTGCCGTGCGGACCTCGCAGGCGCGTCAAGCATAAACCAACCTTTAAGGTGGAATTCTTTTCTAATGTCTGAAGATTCTTCTCTATTCAGGAAGCACAGGCTCTGCCCTGTTAGGGATCTGGAATGTAAATATTCTGTTTACAAGTGCCGCCATGTTGGATTTTTGGAAACAGAATCTAGACTCACCTGCTGGTAGATTCAATTAGAAAAATGTCTCAATTGTTTTTACGTGGAGGGGCGGGTCTTACGACTTTTACCAGATCCACCCAACCACTAGAGGGGAGTCGTCCTTCACCGGCTTCCGCTCTACCAGTGGAAAGGGCCAGATTTTATTCTTTACGGTTATATTGCTAAATTATTACATAATAAAATAAAACATATCATTTTAAATTGTTTCATATTCAGGCTTTAACTTCCATCCGAAACTAGAGAATATGATACAACGTAAATTATAGCACCCATAGGTCATTTTATGATACAGAAACAGATGTATTGGGATCAGACGTAGTGCTGTCACCTTCTTTATACATCTTACAAATATTAAAGAGCCTCCAAGCTGTCATTTAAAAATTAAATGTTTATTATTATAATCCCTGATAACTGACTTTGTGAATCTGTACATCATAGAGGATGACATTTCATCAAAATATTCAGAAGTAAAGCGTTTGGAGATCAGTAGTGATTCAGATCTGTAGTTGAAAGTTTTGGACACTGTGCAGATGTTTCATAACCTGCACAGCAAACGAAAAACCAGCGTGTTTGTTTACAGCTGGTGAAGTGTGGCTGTTTACTCCACAGGGCTTAAATCCTCCGCTCCCCCTCTGAGTCATAATAAACCATTGTTGGATAATGGAGAACACAGAAAGCAAGGTCAGCTCTGCATAATAAAGAAGTTGTCCTGCTGTGGTGTTCATTTCCATCTCCAGACGGCGTTAGCCCAAGTCCAGTCTCCCAAATAACCTGACGGAGCGCCTCGGAGCTCAAAGTCCACACACGTCTGAGTAGAAAGACAAAGACAGAGAGCAGATGAATCCACAGTTAGAACCCCCAAACCCACACACACATGCAGACACATGCAGACAGCTTTCCTCTGCTCAGACAAACTGTCAGCTTAAGTTATGGTGGCAAGTGACGCGTCTCAGCTGGAGAAAGCTGGCTGTCCGTCTGCGGCGCTACATATAAACATGTGGTCTAAAATTCAGAACTAAACATGGAGGGATTCTTCACCATAATCCCTCCGGATCTGCGAGGATTATGGGCATTCTTAGTATTAGTTAAAGGCAGCAGGGTGGGTGTCGAAGTCGTCACACTATGACAAATAAAAACTTCAGCGGCTCGGTGGTCCAGGCTACAGTGCAGCTTTTTAACAAAACTCAGAAATTACAGGCAACATTTTTAATTTATTTTAGTGTTTAATCATTTCTCACAATTCAATAAGTAGTCTCAGAAATCTGTTTGCAGGAAGGTGTTCAAACGTCTGCATGAAATAATGTTTTTGTACTGAATTTGTGGCGTTTTTAGCGTCGTCTAGCTTTAAACCCGCTGCAGCTGTTGGCTCTTCACTCCCACCTGTCTGCGTTTCAGGCCATAGAAACCAACCTGATGAGGAAGTCCAGCAGTGGGCTCACCTATATCGCGGAGTGGAAGGGGGGGCTGCTGGAGCACAAGATGGGCCACCTGACATGTTTCGCCGGAGGAATGATCGCTCTGGGCGCTGACGGGGCACCCGGCGACAAGACGGGTCACCAGATGGAGCTGGCAGCGGAGATCGCTCGTACGTGCCACGAGTCCTACGCCAGGACGGGTAAATATACGTTTATTTTTGTTCTGTCTTCATTTCCAGAAGATTCTAAAACCTAAATGTATCTTCCCCTCTCCCTGTCCTGTGCCAGCTCTGAAGCTCGGCCCAGAAGCGTTCCGTTTCGACGGCGGGGTCGAGGCCATCGCCACCCGCCAGAACGAGAAGTATTTCATCCTGCGTCCGGAGGTCATCGAGACCTACTTGTACATGTGGAGGTTCACCCACGACCCCAAGTACAGGGAGTGGGGCTGGGAGGCTGTTCAGGTGAAAATGTCTTCAAGTCTCGTTTCAGTTAACCAGAGCTGTCAAATTTATCCCAGTTTAAAATGAGGCTCAGAGTTTCTGTGAGTGGGTAGACCTCCACATCCTATCTATTTAACTCGGGTTTAGGAACAATCCGGATGTTTTACGATGCTAAAGAGCCCCTCTGTCTCCGTCAGGCCCTGGAGAAGCACTGCAGAGTGGAGGGAGGCTACAGCGGCCTCAGAGACGTCTACGCTTCCTCTCCCAACCATGACGACGTACAGCAGAGCTTTTACTTGGCTGAGACACTAAAGTAAGACCCAAACCCGTCGGCTTTACACACTTCTATCCTCTCAACGTTGTTGTTGACACTGAGCTCAGCAGAGGGGCCGCGACCCCGCAGCCTCAGAACCGACACCAGCATCAGAACTCTGACGCATAAAGCCAAGCCGTCATTCAGGCCAGCTAAGCTTCAGAGAGGCGCTTAGGTCACACACGCATGCACACACACACACGCACGCACACACACACGCACACACACACACATCTGAAGAACGAGCAGCAGACCCGTCTAATCTGGACATTTTGTTCATAACTTCTTTTAAAGATGTTTATTTTTGTCTCATTGCAAGTTTTTTTTTATGAGAAATTTCCTGCCGTAAACAAAAATAGTTCTTTCCTCTTGGATATTTAATAAAGCAAGAGTTGGTTTCCAGTAACTGGCTCTATTCTGGGACCATAAACGTCCTCTAATAAATCTGGAAGCGTGAGAATGGAGAGACAGAAGCTGTGAAAACACACGTCTCCACACTTCACTGCCTGTTACTACGTCTCACTTCCTCCTAAAAGTTGGCTATTATGTTAATTAGCAGGCTGGAGGTTGTGTGTGTGTGTGCATGCGTGCATGTGTGTGTGTGTCAGTTTTTCTGTGTTCAAACAGCAAATCAAGTTTCTAGTTTTCAGATCAGGTCGCTGTCCTGATCACTACACAGACTAGATGTCGGCTTGTTGGGATTCATCCAATCAGATGAAACAGGAAGGAGGTGTGGACACTTGTGGTGAAGTCCTCACATGACAAGCAGAACAAAAGGAGGAGAACGTCTCATTAGCATAATTTCACATTAGAGCTTCTCCACAGAGGACCTGAGGAGGACTAGCTGCAGCGGGCCACCTGCATGATGCTAATGTGATAATTACCCCATCAGTCATTCCATAAACATTCCATAACAAACCAATCCTACCAGAGCAGGAATATTAATCCTGTTTAGCAGCAAACTTACGGAGTCCAATCCCGCTAATGTTCCTGGTGGATCCTGGCACCACGCTGCTTCCAGGATTCATCATCTCACTGCTGCCAGGGACACACGCGCACGTGCGCGCTGGCGGCCCGAGGAGGTCTAATGTCGTGTGGACAGCCAGCTCCCCCTCTAAATCACGGTTTCATTCTACAAAATAAAAGTCTTCCAGAAGAAACTGGTTTATTACAGGCGTGGAGATGAATGCAGGTAAAATAACAACAAACAAAAGGACAATAATGTAGCTGTTGTTCAGTTAATATTTTGTTTCCTTTCTCATTCTCTTAGAAATATGTTTTAAGTAAAAGCCTTAAATGTGCTGAAGCAGTCGCCATCTAACGTTCTATACAGTTTACACCCTCATCCCTCAGAGGACCGAAGTCCTCATTATATCTGAGCTCATTGGTTTTTCTCCAGGGTGTTTTTAACGCATTTTAACTGCTTCATAAGTTACCGTAGAAACATAAAAGATCACTGGTGTGACTGTCACAGCGTTCTGCTGCTCACTTCAGGACTGTTTTTGTTTTTCAGACAGCAAATGTTTGTTTACAGCTTCACTTCTATTCCTCTCATCCTCCAAACAAACTAAATGTTGTCAGGAAAGATGTAGCTTTGTGGGTTACCATGGTTACCTCAGTGAGCTACTTAGCCGTCTCCTGTGATCCTAATGAGCCACTGGCAGCAGCTTTAACATTTCTTTGCTCCTGTTTGACCATCTTTAAAGAACAAGTCTCCCCCTACTAAAGTCTTACTCCAGACCCACTTCCTGTTTGAAAAACGCAACAAATGCTGTTGGCTGGCAGACCAAGAGGGCGGAGCCATTAACTCTTAATCACACAGACTCACAATAGCATTGTGACATCATAATGTACCAGCAAACATCATAGTGTACTTCTTAGCCAATAGCAATGGCAGATTTTAATTCAAATGTAGTGCAGAGTTTTTACCTGAAGAGGGCACAACACTGACAGTTTTAGCCTGAATATTTAAATTTTAACAAAGATGCACTAAAGGGCCAAATTATTGACTACGCATGTCAACATTACAGTTAAACATTAATTTATATAGTTTGTCAGCAAAAAGGGGGGGCGTGGCTTGCTCTTAAAATCCAGTTTCACTTGTTTTGTCTCAGATTTTGTACAAAGTTGATGTCATTTGGGTCGGTAGCTGCATGTTTCCTCTCGAGTTTAGTCTCTTCTTCATGTGACTGATCAGGCACTCCTGATGACCACGCCCATTAAAGTCCATTTCCTGTGTCCTCCAGGTATCTCTACCTGCTCTTCTCCGATGATGACCACCTACCGTTTGACCATTGGGTCTTCAACACCGAGGCTCATCCTCTGCCCGTCATCAGGAAGGATCAAACAGACCAGCCCAACGAAGTGGAGTAGCGGACCCACTGAGCACCTCCTATCCTGTATATCTGAGCCTCCAGCTGTCTGTCTGAAACTCTTTCAGAGCCCAAAGTGGTGACAGGTTCTTCCTGAGCAGATTTTACGTTGTGTTTTTGTTTATATGGGATCCGTGGGAACCGACTTCTCCCTCTAGACTCGATCGCTACTTTTATTTTTGGGGAGGCCCTTCTAAGTGGATCCGGAGCAACAGGTTTACTGTGGGATAGCTCATGAAAACTCGGGTTCGTGTTGGTTCAGAGAGAACCAGCTGCTACAGAGTGACAATCGAAGCCGTTTCAGGAGGTTGGTTGTTTGTTGCTGCAGCTTTTTTTATGTTTTTAAGAGGAGCTGTTGCTGTAAACGGAGCCCAGGAGGAGGACTGGGATGACACGTAGACCTAAAAGATGCTCCGTTTTTTTTTTTTTTTTTTTTTTTTTTTTTTTTTTTTTTTTGTTCTTGATTTACATTTTGATGTTCATCCTCTGATTAGGAGCCAGTTTTCTCGTCACCACCACCTGTTGTCTTGGCAGCGCTGGGATTATTTTGTGTCTGTGGGAGTTAAACGGGATGACGCAGCACAACCAGAGCCTTCTTCTGGATGTTAGAACTTCTCTCTACCTGTCAGGAACTCTCTTCCACCTCGTTTCCTCTCAGCCTTCCTTCTGTCTGGCTTTTAGAGTCGTCTGGATTTGTCCACATCTCCAACAGGGTTCGTCCAGCATGGGGACTTAAACCTGATCCTGATTTTTCTCTAGCATGCTGGTCCAGCCCTGGTTTACTGTATTATCAGCTGTTTGTGTTTGCGTCCAGCATCAGGCAGGCTGTAGGATCTTCTCTCCTCTGTGAGGACACTAAAATACCACCTCCATACAAACATAAAGCCATACAGATGTAACGCAGCTTTACTCGTTTCATACGTTTGTGATTTTCTTTGTTAAAGATTTCTCCCGATGCCACAGAGAAGTGTAGCCAGATTTAACCCAGTTCAGTCTTCGATTTAGTGCCTTCACCGATCCGGAGAAGGAGCAGCTCCCACAAACCAGGGAGGGAAGTTTTGGTAGTCTTTTCAGCTTTAAGTAAGTTCTCTGTTCAGGATTATACCAAAACCCAGACACGGATTGTAGGATTACACCAACTTTCTGATAATAAGTTCATCCTACAACAATCAGAGGAAGCATACCGCTAACGTTTCATCTGAATATAACAATCCATACCCTAATTGTTCTAATGGCTGTAGAGAGACCTGGTCTGGTTATTTCTTTGATTATGGTGACACCTGGTGGTGGCAAGTCAACATTACATTAACATTAAGAGCTGCAGAGTCCTGCTTCAGACAGCAGCATTTAAGATCTGAGGTCCTTAAGGTCCAACTCTCTGGTTCTCCACCAACATGAAGCTCTGGATCGCCCTCGTTTTACACCAAAGAACCAACCAGATGTAGAAAAACGCCCCTGAAAGACGAGCAGCTCTTCCCGTAGTCCTCAAAGGGACAGGTCTACCATTTTAAAGTGGGATTCTGTGGAAACAGAACGAATCAAGTCAAATCTTTCACTGGCTAATCTGGAATTCAGAAATCAGATTTTTGTCCGGTCTGTGAACGCAGCATTCACAGAACCGCCATTTTTAAGCTGATCCTGGTAACTAGTCCTACAAGATGCACCAGATGTAGCACTAGATTTTGACAGCAGGATGCTGAACAGCTTCAGTTCAGAGAAATAGTAACGGTAACGGCTAGTCTGAATCAGCCAGAACCATAGTGTGTTTCTGCTGGCTGTTATTAACACTATTTCTACAAACTGAGGCTGCTCAGGAGCAACAAGTTAAATGGTAATAATTAAAGTTTTATAAATAAACAGACTTTAATCTGACAGAAATCCCTCTAAAGGAGAATCCTGAGATTTTTGATGTTCGTCTGATTTCAGCTTCTTCTGTTCGCTGCTACAGGAAGACGAGAGTTCAGAGTTCACGGTTTGATTCTTTTACTCACCTGATCACTTTAAGTCCATCCTTTTATCAGCCGTCCTCTGAGTTTATGATCTGTGAGTTTTTCTGACCAAAGCCACGACACGCGGTGTTGATTTCATTTGTTTACGTTTTACTGTAACAGCTGATTTTGTTAATTTATTTGTAGTAGGGATCATAGGACACGCCGACCTCAAGGTGGCGCTGTGGGTTTATTAGATGAGGAAAGCAGCGGCTGGCAGACAGCTGTTGGACAGAAGAGACGGGCAGAGGGCGGACGGAAGTGAATGTACCGTCTGATGTGAAGAGAAGATTACTTTTGTTTTCACCTTCGGTTTAGTTTTTATCTAAGCACAAAAGAAGCTGAGGAAACGTGATTTGAATCATAACTGATAAAAACACAACGTGTGGAAACATCAAATCATCTTCAGGGTGAAGAATAATCGTTCTTCAGGACATAAAAACACAGAAAACCTGAATCTTTGATCAGTTTCTGCTTCGTTATTTCATTCAACAAACAGTGACTGATTTTATTATTAAAGAGAGTTTAAAGAGAAAACTGGACAAAAGAGAGATTTTTGTTTGGAAAAGCAGAATTTTGTTGCAGAAAATTTGTTGAGTTTCTCTTTTTGGGTTTATTTTGAGACCGTAGCTAAATGTTAAAAGCTAAAAATATTTAGCATTTCCTAATTAATTACAGTTTTTCCCTAAATTTCTCTTAAATTTTTGGTTTTGAGTAAACATTTTGTTAAAAATCGGGTTGAATTTACTGAATCTTATCCTTTTATCTGCTTCCCAGACTGATGTAGTTTAAAAACATTCGATTCGAGGTTAAACAGAAGAAGTTTAGGATAAAAGTGGTTTTCTGGTGATTTTTTTTATTCACAGATGTTATAAAATGTTAAAGGGCTGATCCACAGCATTCCTCTCCCAGTTTTCTCCGATCCGTGCAGAATGTATCATCCTTTCACATTTGAGTCGTCTAAAATAAAAGGATGATTCTCAGATTCATGTGTTTACTGAAGCCTTTCTGTCCGCATCAGAGGAGGATTTCATGTGTTCATCCTCCCATCAGAACCACTGATTTGCTGTAGTTTTCTTTTCAAACGTGTGAAAACAACCTCAGAAACGTGCAAATATGTCACTGATAATCATTCCATTGCACCTTGTTCTGTTTGTCTGTATGAAATGTTTTAATTTTGTGGGGAAATTTGGTTTTATTGTGTTAAATATTATAATTATTATTATTGAGATGAAATGTAAATAATCCACTACGGCAGATGAGCCGTTTGGCATTTATATGAAAACCTTCTGAGCTTCAAATGATTCAGATGATATTAATGAGCAGCAGACTTTTTAATAAACTATATTTGTTACACTTCTATTGTGAATAAAACATCTTTTAATACATTTGGGTGTTTTTTATTTAAACTTTCATCAGGATACAGATCAAAGTTTGGCTTATTGGATGTGAAATGTAAAGGAAAAATTAGAAAATTGAGATTTTTTTCTTTACATAAATGTAACATTTAACTGTTTAAAAAAGTTTATTTTTTTTAGATGAGTTTCAATTTCAGGTTTTTTTATCTGCTTTCAAAATGTTTGACCTTAGAAATTAAAGAAAAAACTTTATTGTGCAAATGGGAAAAAATAACTGAGAAGGAAGTTTGAAAGTCAAAATGTTTTGTGGCAAAAGTTGAATATTTAATTCAAGAAGCAGGATTAAAGATTAATTACAGTCTAAAACCTGGCCTTTTTATTGAAATGTTTTCAATTTGACAAAAATAAAAATAATGGTTCATTCTTAAAATGAATTTATTTGAGCATGACACTATAAAAATGTAATATTTATAATACGTCCTTTATGTGTTATATCACTAATTGATGTTTCTAATCTGATTTCATAACGGGACTCACCGATATTACTTCCAAAGATTTGATTTTTGACACTTAAGTTGGATTTTTAAGTCTAAATTTACAGAAAATTTTGCTTTATGCCTTATTATTATGCCAGTTCTCTTGTTCGCTCTTCCTTCTTCCATCTCAGGAACATTGCTAAGCTGAGTCCCATTCTGTCTCGGTCTGAACTTGAGACAGTTCTCCACACCTTCATCTCCTCACGCTTAGACTACTGTAACTCTCTTCACGTGTCTGAGCAAAACCTCCCTGAACCGTCTACAGGTGGTTCAGAATGCCTGTGCTCGGCTTCTGACCAAGTCCTCCAAACACACCCACATCACCCCGCTTCTCCTCCAGCTTCACTGGCTGCCAGTCAACTTCGGGGTTCATTTCAAGATCCTGGTTCTGGTCTATAGGGCCTTACATGGACAAGCACCATCTTACATTGGTGATCTTCTTAGTCCCTACACCCCCAGCAGGTCCCTGAGGTCCAGTGATCAAAGCTTACTGGTTGTGTAGCACCAGGCTAAAGACCAAAGGTGACAGATCATCTGTTGCTGTGGCCCCCAGTCTCTGGACACCCCCCCCCCCCTCCCCCCCGAGCCTGAGATCAGTGGACTCCTTTAAAAAAGCAGCTGAAGACTCACTTGTTCAAGCTGGCTTTTGTATGACCTTCTTCACCACTCTCTTTGTTCTGCTCTCCCCACCTATTCCGCCTTCCTCAGGATCCACTGATTTCCCTCTTTCCTATTCACTCTCTCTCTTTACATTTTTTAATCACAATATTTTTTGTTTTGCTCGTTTTAAATGTATTTTTAACCATTTCCTAAATTCTTTTTTATAGTTTTACATTTTTGTTTTTGTGAAGCTCCTCGTGATTTATATCTTGAGAGGCGCTATAGAAATGATAATTTCTTCTTTAAATATGGAGCTTTTCTCATCACTAAAACAATTCTCTTATCTACCACCAGAGAGCAGCAGAGGACTAGAGGAGATCAAGCCTTACTACACGTTAATTAGTAGTTTTGGGTTTTTTATGAAGATTTCTTTCTGCTCCGTTTCATCATACAAGCATCTTCCATCAGCCTCCCTGAGCCCTCCGGCAGCAGCAGCTCTTCAGCAAGATGACGTCTAAAAGCTCAGAGTCAGAGAGGAAACCCTCTGAGTTACAGGAAGTGAGTCATAACAGGTTCACTTATTCTACTCAAAGTTTTTATTCTGTGGAATAAACTCCTTTTGGAGTTCTTGATTACAGCTGTCTGCAGTTGTGATGGTACCTCGAACTACCCTCCCCATCTGCTCAGTCAGTCGGTCACCACTCAAACTGGCTTGTTATTTGGAAACCAGCGCTCCTATGGGACCCTCGTTCCACTTTCAGCAGCGAGTCCCAACGGGATTTGGGTTCCTCTGACCCACATTCTGCACAGATGCTCCTCTGCTAAATCAGCCAGTGGCGTCTATGTTTCAGTGTGTGAAGACAAGCGGGTTCCTCTGCTCTGCAGGCCTGGATCATCCTGAGGTGAGTCCACAACTAGTCAGGATTACCAGAAAACTCTGGATTAGTGATTAGGGCAACACGGCTCAGTATCGTGCATCCAGAGTTCTACAGGAAACATCCTGGCCTGCAGCTCCAAATGCCCGAATTAAACATGTAGATAATAAAAAAGCATAATTTGAAGATTATTTTTATCTCATAATTTACTCCAGCAGCTGCCAGGTGGATGAGAGTAGGTCTGTGGGCTATGTGTCTAAAAACACTAGAACAAATTCTAACATGATTGGTGGAAAGAAGAGTTAACCTCATCACTGCGTGAGTTGTTTCAGCACCATGGACAGAGGCAGAACCACTAACAGAAACAAACCTCCTCCTCCAGCCTTTTTAAAACATTCACTTTTGTGTGAAGATTATATCATATGAAGGAACAGAAGCAGGAATATGTGTGAATTTAATTGTTATTAATTAAAACTACATAAAATTTAGTGTATTTAAAAAAATGTTATTCAAAAACCAGAGTCAGGTTTTTTTCTCATTTTAATGTAATCTTAAGGTCAGTGATTTAAAACCAAAATCTACAGAAACTTTCTTTTATTTTTTTTTCTATCCAAATCTCCTTTTGTCCTCATTGGTGATCTGATTAAGCAGGTGAAAACTGGGTATTTTTTCATGTTTTAAATTAATCTCAATGTTGTGAATTTAAGATTTCTTGTTGTTAGCGGATTTAGTCACAATATGTCCCAAAGAAGATGGTTAAAACAGAATCAAATAATTTCTGTAAAGACCTTTTTGGTCATTTAGGTCGAGACGAGATGTTAAACGGTTCACTTCAGATGTCGCCTTGAAACACCAGAAAGAGAAATAAAGCTTTATTAAAACTTAGAGCTCTTTTTGGAACAAATTATCCTGAAACTGAACTGGGAGGTAATTGAGATATTTTTATTATTTATTTATTTTTAGGGTTTTTTTCATTCTGAGTCGTTATTTGTCTAGAATCGGTTTAGTTTCTCTGTACATCCAGTTCAATGTGGCTCATCTCTGTGAAAATTACTTGAAGTGAACTGGAACAGAGGCTCAGTCAGCTGGAAACTAGACTGGTTTAACTGGACAAAGATTAGCAGAGTGTGGTAGAAAAGTGGCTTTTATGGACCTCAAACGTCACACTCTTTTAGATTTCTGCAGCATCTCCTGTTGTCATGGTTACAAGTACAGCAAAGCTCTGGCACTGCGGTCCACCTCACTTGGTGTGTGTGTGTGTGTGTGTGTGTGTGTGTGTGTGTGTGTGTGTGTGTGTGTGTGTGTGTTATGATGCTAAAACGAACCCAGAATTGTTTTGTTATGAACAAACTGTGAAGATATTTGTATTTATTATCATGTTGTTTGGTGGCAGGAGAATCTCGTCTCTGCTTTTTGCGGATGATGTGGTCCTCCTAGCTTCATCCAGCTCTGACCTTCAGCTCTTGCTGGGTAGGTTCGCGGCCGAATGTGAAGCGGCTGGGATGAGGATCAGCACCTCCAAATCTGAGACCATGGTTCTCGACCGGAAAAGGGTGGCTTGCCACCTCCGGGTCGGGGGAGAGGTCCTACCTCAAGTGGAGGAGTTTAAGTATCTCGGGGTCTTGTTCACGAGTGAGGGTAGGAGGGATCGGGAGATCGACAGGCGGATTGGTTCGGCGTCTGCAGTGATGCGGACGCTGAGCCGATCTGTCGTGGGGAAGAGGGAGCTGAGCCAGAAAGCCAGGCTCTCGATTTACCGGTCGATCTACGTCCCAATCCTCACCTATGGTCATGAGCTTTGGGTAATGACCGAAAGAACGAGATCGCGGATACAAGCGGCCGAAATGAGTTTCCTCCGTAGGGTGGCCGGGCTCAGCCTTAGAGATAGGGTGAGGAGCTCGGACATTCGGGAGGGACTCGGAGTAGAACCGCTGCTCCTCCGGATCGAAAGGAGCCAGTTGAGGTGGTTTGGGCATCTGGTCAGGATGCCTCCTGGACGCCTCCCCGGGGAGGTGTTTCGGGCATGTCCTGCCGGCAGAAGGCCCCCGGGTCGACCCAGGACACGTTGGAGAGGTTACATCTCCAATCTGGTCCGGGAACGCCTTGGGGTCCTGCCGGAGGAGCTGGTGGACAAGGCCGGGGAGAGGACGGCCTGGAGCTCCCTAGTTGGGATGTTGCCCCCGCGACACGGACCCGGATAAGCGGAGGAAGACGACGACGACGACGACGATCATGTTGTTTAAATGTGAGTTGTTTTCAAACTGAGGAGGAAGTCTGTGGCTACTTCTGTGTCATCTAAAAAACAATCCAACATTTTACCAACAGGAACCTTCTGGACCAGAACCTGCAGGAGGGGCTCAGCCCATTACTGTTGTTTGGTTTGACTTCCTGTCTGCTGCCCCCTCCTCTGCCCTCGCTCAGGAGAGGTGAGCTGCTTGGCCCACAGCTGGAAAATGTTCCCACAGACGTGAGAAAGCTGAACACTGCAGCAGTACGGTTTGATTAAATGTGCTCTGTCATCCTTTTGTCTACCTGCACGAGCACTCTGATTGGACTTGGTCTGAACAGAACCGAGCTTTAAATAGTAGAACATTTTTCACTCTGCTGCGGGAGATTACAGGCAGCACCTGTGTTCCTGAAAACTCCCTAATTGTGTGTGTGTGTGTGTGTGTGGGGGGGGGGGGGGGGGGAGGAAATTTGCTGAGCAGGAAAGGATGGATTTTATCTCTTCCTGGTTTTTCATCATTGCATCAAAACTCCTGTCAGTAAAAATTCATACCATACCACTTTATTTGTAGAGCGCTTTTAACACGGCATTACAACCAACCGAAGCACTGCACATAAGAAAACACAAGCTTAAATAGTCGTGTATATCATATGAAGTAAAAAAGATTAAAAAGTTAAAAGAACATCAGACTAAACCCAACAGAACAAGTAAAACCAGAATATAAAAACACAAATTTTACATCTAACAAACAAGGTGGAAAAACTAAGGATGAGTTAATGCTTTATGGTTTGG